ATAATTTTCAAGTAGCACCCTTATTCCTTCTAAGAATTTCACAGTTTCTAGAAGGTCCGAGAATTCTTTGTGTCTGTTTTATGTCTTTCTTTTACTGTGAATTTTATTGTACTACCGACGTTTTTTACAACATGTAACAATATAAAAATATTATATAATAGTTATTATATTAGTATATTATATTAGAATAATATTCATATATACATATATCTTCTACTCAGTAGTTATAAGTAAATTAAATTATCCGAAAATTTTTGTTTGAAAATTTTTTTTTTCTACCATTTTTGTCTTATTATATGAAAAGAATCATCCCATTATACGTCAAATCACTCGATGGCATTGAACAACTGATTTCCAAACGTCGACCTTGTCTTCTTTGATTCATGGACACCATAGATTCGAGAAAAATGAAGCCGAGTCAGTAGAGGGGTCGAACGACCTTCGAATTTTTTTTCTTTCATTATTTACACGTCAGAGGTACTCGAATATTTTCAATTCTGCTCCTTCAACTTTGATCGTTATATTCGAGAGTTAGCTCTATTAGTAAACAATCATCGAATATCGACTTTTTTTTTTAACTCCGCTATGTTTCTTCTGACTATTTTTCTAACTGTTATAATGTAAACATTTAAGGACTTACTTTGTATATATTATGTACAACGAAAAAAATTTGAATAAAGCTAAACAGTAAACAAGTGTCTATAAAATCAGAAATTCAATTCAAACGATATTAAAAGTAAAACCCTTAAGAACTAATATTCCATTGCCCCAAATTAATAAATTCCAACACTAACGTCAAAAAATATTTCTAGAAATTTTGACCAAAATCTGAAGAAATTTTTATAGTGAAATTTTATGTGAAACATCTCCTTAGAATAATATAAATTCTTTTCATTTTCTAGAACATTGAAATATAAAAATTTAAGGATCGTGGCAGTGTCAATAGAGAATCTTTAGAAAAGAAGAGGAATAATGATAGATTTCTTTTTCCACTTCAAATTTCTTTTTCAATGATGAAAGTTGAAGAAATGAATGAATTATAAAAATCAAGCTTTGTTCGAGATCACTATCTCGATTTTTAACACTAGAACGATCGGTGGCGTTATGTGATTTTCAATAATTAAAAATCGGTGACATTACCACGATGACGAGATTATGTGATTTTCAATAGTTAACAATCGATAACATTATTGTAATTTTAAGCTGTTAATACTGACTTAATTATTGTTAATTAATTTTCAGCTGTTAATGATTCATTACATTGTGGCGTCACGAGACTTTTAATAGACAAATCGCTTGAATTTATTCAATTAATTAACTTAAATGAGGTTTTGTGTAAAAGAAACATTAAGTAAGGATTAAAATTATTTGGTAATACGTATGATAAATGCGTGTACATTAAATATAAATTATACTTATAAAATACAATGATCTAGCATAAACACTTTGGACGGTTATTTCTGTAATTTGTATTTCGAATACGACTACATTCAATTTTGATTTAAGTTGTACATGTTTACGAGAAATTAAACGTCATTTGTACGAATGTCTCGATCTGTTATGTAGTTGGAATTTATAAATATCTTTATTTACGCATTTCACAAATTATACGGAAATATAGAAAAAAGGTGGGGTTTGATTTGGAAGATTCAATTATAAATTCATCCTTTTAATTAAACTTTTTTGGAAATTTCATCGATTTATGGACACTGGAGAGCCATCTAGCGATGAAAAGGTGGAACTACTCTCACTATAAAGAAATTTAAAGAACAAATATTTCGACGTAAAAGCCGAATTTCTTAACAGTTGACAAATGTTATTAAAGCCTCTGCTTTCAGAAACATTTTTGTTCAAGGATTTCTTGCATAATTAACTAATTATACATATTTGTTAGTGGAAAGTGCCTTATTTTGGTCATGGTAGCTCCATCTGTTGATAAATCTCTGGCAAGGGTCAATTAAATAAAATTACAAACAAGGTATTAATATAAATTAATAATTATCATTAATATTAAATGTAAATTTTTATACTGAAATTCGATATTTTATTCGATATTTTAAAATTAAGAGTCTTAATTAAGCGACGATTAAGAATCTCGCACACATACACGTAAGCGTTGTGTGTACATTCGTGTTCTGTTGAATTTCGAATTTCAAACTTCAAGGTCTTCTACGCTTTGCTTCATTTGAGAAATATTTTATTACGGTGCGCAGTAAAATTATTGTCCTAATTATAAAATACGTTGTAAGAAACTCAATTCACGTAAACGTCGATTCTCATGGGCCGTACCGTTAGGCCCATAGAATAAATTACTTTATGAAACTGACATTGCCTAACGGTTGCAATTCTGCGTTCTCAACCACGTGACCGGAAAGGGAACAGTTTATATAAGGGTCGACTACGACACGCTCGACAGTAGTGAACAAAGTGAAGACGTCTTGATGAGTCACTTCCTCAACGTACGCCTAAGACATCTCGTGCACCAGCTTCCGCTATACGTGCCGCGATCACTCGCAAATAAAGTTATATTGTAACATTCAACAAATCGCAGCTTGTTTCCTCGATAACCTAGTGCCTCATAAATTGATGATCACGGCGAGTAAACATGAAGAAAGAAAAAAAATCCATGAAGATACTGCCGAATTTTTCATCGCCACGTGACGAATATGGCGGACGACAAGATCGGCAATCTACCACCTTTCTCCGAACACGTGGCGGAAGCCGAATTCAGAATATTCAGAATAAATCGGCAAGAAGTGAAATACAACTACGTCGTCGCAGCAATTGATCTGGTGACTGCTTATGAGGTAATAGATATTATTAGAAATCCACCGAGAGATAGTCCCTACGACCACTTGAAAACGGAAATAATAAAGAGGGTGTCCATCGATTCCGATAGTAAGACTTCTACAACTACTCAGCCAGGAAGGGTTAGGTGACAAAAAACCGTCCCAATTCTTACGGAAACTCCAACTATTGTTAGAGTGAAATCTTTCGAGCTATTGCGAGAGCTATTTCTACAGAAGGGACAGTAAAAATCCCGGTGGAAAAGCAGGCGGAACTGGCCGATCATGGAAACTCTAGACGTAAGACACAAGAAACGCGAGAATTCACCAGAGGCTAAAGCGTTTGAAGGGGATCGTGGAGCGTTTGATGAGTACCGGAAAACCAATTCTATTTCCTTGAAGAAAAGCTACTCTCCAACTCCAGAGAAAGACAAGTTTTCGCACCTCTGCTTCTGCTACAACCGACTCCAAGATAAAGCAAAGAAATGCACGCAAAAGAAATTCAGTGCGAAACATGTAGGATTAACCGTTGCGATTAACCGTGCCCTTGGCTATTCCCAAACCAGCCGTATCTTCGTCACAAACTGCCTCAGCAATTTTTGATACCTGATGGATATCGACGCAAATCTGTGTGTGTTTCCGTGTTCGTATATAAAAGTGATTATATATTATATATTATATATTATATATTATATACCGTCATCGGTATAAATTTTTTATCTCACAAAAATCTACTGAAGAACTTACAAAATAATCTACTCGACACCATTACGTATCGGCAAAGGAGATGTTACATCCATCCAAACAATTGAGGCGATATTCCATAAGGTAGGTTTTTATAAAATTTTCCTACATACTAACGTTAGTTAAAATCAGTAGTTAACACTAACCGTACCGGCACCTCATATATCTGTTTTTACTATAACCGATCATTGATGAATTTTGATGAATTTTCCTCAATTAAAGAAGAAGCAAAAAAAAAAAAAGAAACAAAAATTGAGAAATTGATTTATCAGATAATATGAGAATTTATTTATAATTATATAATTATATAATTTTCCTACATACTAACGTTAGTTAAAATCAGTAGTTAACACTAACCGTACCGGCACTTCATATATCTGTTTTTACTATAACCGATCATTGATGAATTTTGATGAATTTTCCTCAATTAAAGAAGCAAAAAAAAAAAGAAACAAAAATTGAGAAATTGATTTATCAGATAATATAAGTATTTATTTATAATTATATAATTATTATAATTTTTGATAACGAAGTTAGGTGAACAAAAGAAATAACGATGTACGTACAATTTTAAAATTTATTAAATTATTAACCGATCATTTGACCTGGTACGGTTAGTGCTAATAACTGTAAATATATAAGACCATATTGTACATAATTGAACATAGGTATCTTCGCGTGCCTTATGTAAACAGTAGATTAAATTTAGAATAAACATTGCCATAAATTAGAATATATACCTACAGTATTAATAAAGTGTTGAAAACAATACACAGCAAACCCGGAAGACTGGTTCCTGATCGTTTCAAATCGGCGAAGGAGAAGATAACTTCGTACTCCGCCAGGGCATCATTCGTCCTTCGAAGAGTTCATGAACAACTATCTACAACTGTAAAAACAAACAAGAAGATTCATGCGGCGAGCGATGCTAGACAGGTATTTCCCGTCATACAGTGAAAATTTTGCGTTGTACAACAAACATATCTTTTCAAAGATAGAGTCAATACGCGTATATAATCAAATATCGATCGCGCCTAATAATCGTGAGAAAACGGCAATCACGTTCGGGCTATTTGAGTTTAATTTTATACTTTTTGCTCTACGTAACGCGGCGCAAACTTGCCTTTTCTCTACGTGTCCTTGTAAGTAGTTAATTGCATTTTTGGCCAGGAAATGATTTTCTTTGCAGTTTATAGAGATAAATGTTACGAGCAAATGATTACAGATAAATAAACCAGACTCAATCTATCTTCGCCAATTAACGCTATTTTTTTGTATTTACTCTGATTTATCTTATTGTTGGAAAAGAACGAACGAACCATTCTCACGGGAAATGGTGAAAGAAGAAAAGAGAAGGCTCTCTCTTTAAGTAGGCAACGTGTTATTTCGAATAAAACATAGCACTGTTTCTTAAACAGTTCATGCTAATAATTATAATAATTATAAATACTTAAAATTAATAATATTAACAATTATTAATTGTAATAATTATGCTCATAAAGAGATAAAAATATTTAGCGACTCGTTGATCAAACGCTACAACACGACTCGAGCATTTGTTCACTTTATACAAAGGCATAATTTTTGTGAGCCATGGTCCATTTCTTTTTTTTTTTTTTTTTCTCTTACTCCCTCGAATAGCGATGATTACATACTCGTGCCATAATTACGACGGAAATTTTCAATAATTAATTAAAATCTTTCTACTAAAACAAAATTGAACTGGATCTATATATATTGTAGTGTGTTTATGAAAGAAGTTTTTGGGGAGAGCCAGGTTTCAGTGATAATGGCCACGTCAATTTGGTGATCGTGGAGGAATTTTTGAAGTTCGAGTTTTTATTGGTAATGCTAGTAGCATTCCATAGCATAACTTTAATGAAGGAATTATCGTCCAGCTTCAAGCTCTTTGACGATTTGTATGGTCGCTTTAACTCTTTCGATATTATTTGTACAGTTAGTATAATATTTTTGTATATTATCAGTTCGATAATACGAAGAAATGTATCGAGATCAGAGTTTTTGAGTCGAGGGTGGATTCGATGGAATTTCCTGTCAAGTGTGGGGGGCAATGACTGGTAGGACGGCGATTTGACAGCGGAGACGTAAGAGTGTGAACCATTATGAAGTGGGTAGTGGGTCTGGGGTTTTGGAGGGTCGCTGAGGGTTGGGGTCAGTTTATTTGGAAGAGGTGGGAAGTCAGCTCCGACAGAGGGAGGGAGGAAGAGGGCGCTAGGGCGCTGCAGGGCCTTGTGTGCAGGTTCTTCTTGCTGAGGTAGGCCAAGAGAGCAGGGCATTTTGAGTAGTTGGCAGTGTGGGCGCCTTTGCAGTTGGCGCAGGTAGGAGGAATTTCCAGGGATTTCTTGCATTCCTTGGTGTTGTGTTGGCCAGCGCACTTCAAACAGATGGGATTTTTATTACAGTTAGTTGAGGAGTGTCCATGAGCTTGGCATCGAAAGCATTGTATGGATGGCTTTCTGGATTCATACTTCTCCCAATATATCTTGATACTTTCGATGACCCGGTAGATTGGGTACTTAGTGTGCGTAAGTAGTTCAGTGCAGGAGATTGGGTGCAGGCTTTATGAGTTTATGCTAGCCAAAATGAGTTTCTCGTCAAGTTTAATTAGTCCTTTGAGGACTACAGTAAATATTTTTTCTGTGGATACAGAGAAGGTGTGGAATTGTGCCCTCGTTACGGCAGACGTTCTTGAAGTCGTTGAAATCTGGGAGTTTTTGGATGGAATTTATCCTTGTAGCTAGCTTTAAGGGCTTCTAGGAGTTTAGGGTGGTCGATGTTGCCGTGAAGGTAGATTGGCGGAGGTTTGACGGTGCCCGAGGGGGGGGGGGGGGGTTGTATGGTAGGGTTAGGATTGTCAGTTATTCGTGCATTTTTGAGATTAGTTTGATCTGTGTCCGGGAGAAGGCAGTCGGAGAGAATATGGAATGTTGTATGTGGCAATGGGTGAGGAGGATTCCATACCTGTAGTGATTTTAACTGCTGGGCCGAAGTTTGATAAGGAGGCTTGTCTGCTCTTGACTCTTTGCGTTTGGTTGGGTGTACGTGGCCTTCCTCTTGGCCGTGGGCCAGGAGGTTGAGTCCTCCGTCTCCGTTTTTGAGGTTATGTTGGGGATTTTGCCAAGGTTTGTCGATTTTTAGGTTTTATCACAATGCACTAAGAACCACTTGTCTCGGATGTACTTCTTTTCACAGGGGATAACTGAGAATCGAATTCCTCCGAGAATCTTGTTCCTCCGTCTACCGCAGAAGCACTCTCAATGATCTGTCGTGACTCGACTGCAATGCAATGCCTTTTGACTGTGACTCTGAATGGATGTGGTTTTTTTTTTTCCCCTTATGTATTTGAATTGCAGTTCCCTGGGATTTGGATGTACCGATAACCTGCAGTTAACATAAATGAATCAGGTGTAGTTGGATTATTTGAGATTTTTCATTTGTTGTTTTTGTGTCTGATGGTGGTATTTTTGCAGGATAAAATTTTCCTGCGGGTGGTTTTCGGAATTGATGCTGCGGTTTACTGCTAAGAGGACTCCTCCTCGGTGGGGTTCATTGAGTTTTACGGGACGATCCTGTCTGTATATGTCGTAGTACTTTAAGTGGAAGGGTGACTTTGGGGAGAGCCAGGTTTCAGTGATGATGGCAACGTCAATTTGGTGATCTTGAAGGAATTTTTGGAGTTCTTGTTTTTTATTTGTAATGCTCGTGGCATTCCATAGCATGATTTTGATGAGGGAATTATCGCCCAGATTCGAGTTCTTTTATAATGAGGACGGTGGCTTTGACTTTGTCGATGTTGGTTGTGCATTTGGAATAGTATTTTTGGATTAATTCGAGGATTTTAAAGAAGGTATCTAGGTCTGTGTCTTTGAATTCGTCGACTTTGGAGTTGATGGTGTTACTGTTCGGGAAGGGGGGAGAGGGTTGGTAGTTTTGGGTTTTAACAGCGGAGGCGTATGTGTGCGAGTGATTCAGGGGAGTATGGGGAGTCGGAGTTTTAGGGGAGTTGCTGAGGGATGATGTGGGTCTGCTTGAGTATCGAGGGAATTCGGTTCCGACGGGGGAGGGGTGGGGGATGTTGGGACGTTGCAGGGCCTTGTGCACATTCTTTTTGTTGAGGTATGCGAGGAGGGCTGGACATTGAGAGTAGTTGGCGGTATGCGCTCCCTTGCAATTGGCACAGGTTGGTGGAATTTCCAGAGTTTTTGTGCATTCTCTGGTGTTGTGTTGTCCAGCACATTTTACGCAGATGGGATTTTTATTGCAGTTCGTAGAGGTGTGTCCGTGTGCTTGGCAACGGAAGCATTGAATGGATGGTTTCTTGGACTCGTATTTCTCCCAGTAGATTTTGACGTTTTCGATGAATCGAATTTGGTTGACCTTGGCTAGTGTGGTTCCTGGGGTGAATGTGACTCGATATATAGGGTATTTGGTGTCGTTCTTGTCTTCAAGTAGGCAGTTTGCAAATATACTAAAGCGGTTTTGTGTCGGTATATTGGGTTTTATGGAGTCCATACCTTCTTTTTTGTTGATTTTAGCGACTGGTAATGAGTCAGATAGTGATGCAGATCTTCTTCTAGTGGACACTATTTTTGGTGTTTCCTCGCGGGAGTCTTTCCTTTTGGGCACCGTGGCCCACTTTGGGGGCTCCACCTTCGATGGGGAGTTCAGATGTTTTTGGACTATTTTTTGTATTTGACTTGTGTTTAGAGGTTAGTTTTCACTTGTGCCTTTGCAGGCCACTGCCTTGTTTGGTTTTTGGTGCTGGATTTTGTCACTGGTAGTTGTCGTACGCGAACTGAATCACGTCCTTGCGAAGTCACTGATCACTTTAACTCGAATGAACTGAACTGTGAACTGTCACTGTCCATAACTCGTCCGAATGCAACTAACTGTGAATGAATGTGAACTGTCTATCGAATGAACTGTATGTCAACTCGTGAACTGTCTATAACTGTCGTCCTGCAACTGTAAAATATGAACTGAACTTCCGATGGATGTGGTTTTTTTTTTTTTTTTTTTTATTTTTATTCAGGATGTTGGTGCGCTCGCAGTTCCGTAGGCAGGTTGTGCCTTCTTACCTGCATGTAAATTGGATTGTTAGAGAGGTGATATTTGTGATGTTTGTGAGATTAGTGTAGTTTCATTAATTGTTGGGAGTGCAGGAAAAGTTTCAAAAAACCTGCGGTTCCTTGATTATTGATCCGTGACGTTTGTTGTCTTTTGTGGCCTCTTATTTTCTGGCGTGCTTTGGTAACCTGATCTTGATTTTGAATGGTAGATCTTCAATTTGGTAGTTTCCGGTAGTTCTGATGAGGGGGTTTGGATGGTCGTAGTTATATGCTCTGGAAAGTGAGTCTTGAATGAATTGACTTATTGTTGGTATATTAGCTAGTTTGTGAAGGAGTGTGATTGGAATGTCCCTGTTCCTGTTTAGGATTATTCTCAGGAATTTGTTTTGTGTCGTTTGCACCTTGTGTATGTAGGATTTGGCAGCGGCTGCCCAGATTTGATGTCCATAAGTGATGACAGGTCTGACACACATAATGTATAGTTGTATCTTGATGTCTTTTTTAAGGTTGCTATTTTTGAATATGAGAGGGTATAGTCTCTTGAGAGCCGGGTGTGCTAAGTTGACTCGCTTTTCTATGGCTTTCCGCCAGGTGAGTTTACTATCTAGGATGAGTCCTAGATATTTAACTGTGTTGGTCCATGGGATGGGTTGATTGTCTATGTGTACTGTTTTTGTGATCTGTAGTTGCTTCCTGGTGAATGTTATTGCCTGCGTCTTGGTTGTATTGATAGTGAGTTTCCATTGTTTCATGTATGTGCTTATGGCGTCTAGATGGGTCTGTAGATATTTTGTTGCTTGTGCTGGATTCCAGGAGGAGGCCTATATGGCGGTATCATCCGCGTACATGGCGAGTTGTGTGTTTGTGGTAGTGGGCATGTCGTTGATGTAGATGCAGAAAAGGGTTGGTCCAAGTATAGATCCTTGTGGGACTCCTGCGTTGATAGTGTGTGTGGATGATTTGGTGCCGTTGATGGTGGTATAGATTTTTCTGTTTTGCAGGTAGTTTTTGATTAGGTTTAATATAGGAGTTGGAGTGTGTATGAGTTGTAGCTTGTGTAGTAGTCTTTCGTGCCAGACAGTGTCGAAGCCTTTTTCTAGATCTAGTAGGATCAACTGTGTTATTCTATTTTTATTTATTTCCAGTGAGGCATATTCGGTGACCCTCTGTAGCTGGTTGACGCATGAGTGTTTCTCCCTGAATCCGAATTGTTGTGGGATGATTATATGATTGGAGTTGAGGTGGGAGAGTAGCTGTCGGTGTATAATTTTTTCAAAGACTTTGCTGAGTGTACTTAGAAGGCTGATTGGCCTGTAGCTGGTGAGTTTGTTGCTTGGTTTACCTGGTTTTTGTATTGGGTGTATGTTGGCTGTTTTCCATGGTTCTGGGAAGTATGAGAGTCGGAGGCAGGCCTTGAGTATATAGTAGATTTGAGCTATAGTTTTCTGTGGTAGGTTTTTTAGTTCTGCGGTGGTGATTTTGTCCGGACCTGGTGCTTTGTTGTTGGGGAGTTTTGCTATGATTTTGCGGATGGTGAGTGGCGAGAGGTAGGAGTGACTGTGTAGGGGGGAAGTAGGTTCTTTGGATTGGTTTGTTGGTTGGTTTAGATGTTCGTTGTGCGACAGGAGAGAGTTGTTGTGCGTGCCAAAGTGAGTGGCTAATGCTTCTGCTTTATCTGCGTCGGAATAGTTTATTGTGCTTGTGTCTGGGTCTATCAGTGGTGGTATTTGCGCTTTTTTCCCGCCGGTAATTTTGTATGTTTGCCAAAGCGTGTGATTTGCTTTGTTTATTTGCTGGAGTCTTCGCTGCCATGCGAGGTTTCTTTGTTCCTTTAAGGTCTTTTGTATTTGTGTTGTTAGGATGTTACGTTGAAGTCTGTAGAATTGGTGTCCTGTCTTTTGGTATTTCCGTCGGTATTTGTTTCGTTCCCTTATCAGTTGCTTAAGGAACAGGTCTGGGTTTGGTAGCCTGTGGTTTTCCTCTTGAAATTTAGTTGATTTCTTGTAGGCACTGTTGATGTTGTTTTTCAGTGAGTCGATGTGTGTATTGATTTCTTCTTTTGTCGTGATGTTTGGATTGATGGGGAAAGAGTTACATATTTTCCGGTAGAGGTTCCAGTCCGTGTGTTTGGTGTATCTATTTTTCCTTAGGGTCGTGTTAGTGTTGACGGATAGAATTACCGGCAGGTGGTTTGACGAGAGGTCGTCTATGGTTTGGATGGTGTGTTCGTATGGAATATTAGTTAGGAATATATCTAGGTTTGATGGGTGGCAGTTTGGATGTCTGTACGTATATGTTGGTGAATGGATTATATTGTACTGTCCATGTTCCATGTGTTTTTTGAGGGTTATCCCGTTTCGGTTATTTCTGAAGTTGTTCCATATTTGATGCTTGGCGTTGAAGTCTCCACCGGTGATGAATATGTTGTTGGTATTGTGGTGAGTTAGTTGATCCAGGTCTGAGTCGGTTATTTTGTGTGTGGGTGGTGAGTATGCTGCTGTGACGATGAGTGGGGGGGTGTGTTTGAGTTTTATTGTGAGGTTTTCGACTTCGGTAGAGGTGAGTTGCGCGTGGTCTTCGGTGTTTATACTATTCTGTATGGCAATCATTACTCCGCCACGGTTGGGTTCTCCAGGATTTATAGTTCGATCTCTTATGTGGATTTTATAGTTGTGTAGGTTGAGTGAGTTCTTGGTGGATAGCCAGGTTTCCGTTATGATGGCTATATCAATCTGGTGTTTGTGTAGGAAGTTTTGGAGCTCAATTTGCTTGTTTAGTATGCTAGTCGCATTCCATAACATTATATTGATTGGTTTTTTATGGTCCATTTTTTTCTATTTCCTTAACTATTAGTATGGTAGCCTTAACTTTGTCGTATGCTGTGGTGCAGTTGGCGAAGTGAATTTTTATCAGTTCGATTATTTTGAGGAAAGTGTCGAGGTCTATGTCTTTTAGTCCATTTAGGGGGTTCGTTGTGTGGCTGCCTTGTGTAGGTACGGTTACTGTTTGTGATTCCGAGTGGTG